TTCAAACCATGGGCATGCGCGCTCTGTTATTGAGCGCGCCATTGGCTATATTAAATGCAGGTGGAGATGGTTGGATGCGTCTGGGGGCAGAATGCTATACCAACCCAAAAAGGTAGGCAGAATAATTGTGGCCTGCGGTGTCCTGCACAACATTGCACTGAGGAACAACATTCCTCTCCCACCGGGGCTACCTCCCCCTCCTCACCTTGACCAGCCTGAGGTGCAGCCCCCCCCCCCAACATGTGGAATATCAGCAGGGGGCCAGATTGAGACAGAATGTCATGCGTCGTTTGTAGAACCAACACAGAAGCATGATTTTCATATTTTATTTTTTCACCAATTCCTTAAGTGTTCCTGAAATTTCAGTCAGGACATCACATATTCTGTGCAGTTCTTCCCTCACTTCATTCACCGCACTAATCATGTCCCTCTGTGTCTGCAGGACAGCGTCAGTTAGCACCCGGCCACTTCCAGGTGCGCCATGCGCCCGTGGCGCACTGATGGGACAGGCCGACCCTGCAGCCATCTTTGGTCGTCGCCCGGGATGCCTCGTTTGACCCTTCGTCCAGAGTCACTGGGGGGAACAATGAGATATGGGTTTGTTTTATATTTTAATGATGGACACATTTGATCTGTATTAATAAAAGGCTTAAACGTTACCAGTCTCCTCTGCATGATCAGCATCTCCCTCCTTCTCCGGCACGATGCCACGCACGCTTGCCGGTCTGAGTACTGCTGAGATCTTAGTGAGCGGTGGGAGATCAGAGGCTCCAGGGCCTCCGCCAGAGGCAAACAAACCCTGGCGGTGGCAAAACGTCTTTTTATTTTTGCCTCCTCCTTCAGATGGGACCATTTCTTTTTAATATTCGCCATCGATCTCTCTGACGAACTCACAGCATTGATGGCTTCAGCAACGCTGTGCCACTCTGATCATTTTCTCTTATTTCTTATGCCACTGCTGTGACCTCCAAAAAGCACTTCCTTTCATTTCTCCACCTCACCCACAGGTAGGCCTACCTCAATTTCTGCTTCTGTGAAATTGGCTTCCTTGATCTGCCTTGATCTACGGTCGCCATCGTCATTGGCAGAGCGCTGCAACAGCCGGCTTATGTATATGCATGAGATCCACAAGGCACTTTGCATTGACTATTTATGGCAGTAAGTGGGCGTGGTGAGGGCGGGATGTGACTAAAAGCAGCTGAGAACCTTTCTCGTTAGTCTCTGATTTATGAAGCAGAGATTGCGTGCAGCTGTGCGTACTCCATGTTTGATAGATCACAAACCTACTTGGCGTGAGTACATTTTTTTGCTGAGCTTAAGTACGGTTTTAGTAAGGATTCTACGCAATGTTTGAAAAATGAGACCCCTGCTGTGTACCACACTGCAACAAATCATTGCTCAGACCTCCTTCTCTTCATTCGGAGGCACACAGATCTGAAACAAGAGCCCTTTCAAAGTCTTAAAATACGACAAAGAAGTTGTTTAATATTTTTATTTATTCATTATCTTCCTCATATTTTGGTTTATTTATATTCTTCAGTAAAAAATACATGAAAAACCTGACAAGCATTTGAAGTCCAGGGTTGTTCTAAAGCCACATGGACATGGAGGGTCCCTGCATGACTTCAGCTCCAAAACAGGAAATAACCAAGGGCTAAGAAATTGCAAGTAGAGTAAGAGTGTTAACAGTCTTTTCTTTTAGGCACTGTAATCTCATGCCAGAACACATCATTCCAACAGATTTAAGACTGAAATATCACATCAGCACTGCAAAAAAGAGAGAAAACAGGAAATAAAACCGAAAAGGTGAAATTTTGAGTGTAACTGTGAAACGATTGTTCCTATAAATACTGCCAGACAAACAATAAACTACCTTAATGGACGGCTAATCTGAAAACAAATCAGGAAAAATCAGAAGAAAAAGAACAAAACTCTCCTCTGATGCCGGTTTGAATGTAAACAAACATGGATTGCGGTTTGTTACTTGGTCCCGTAATGCTTGGTTGAGGGCTGGCCGAACAGGCCGTAGAAGTCAGAGTGCCTGGCAGTTGGTGACGCTTCCATTAGCCCCCTCATGGGAAAATGCTGCAGTGGTTGAGTGGCAGGAAGTGGAGCGTGTGGGGGAAACTCCTGAGAGGTCATGGAGGGGAAAGAGTCTGACGCCGGGTACGGAGGCTGGGCGCGGGCAACGGGGGATCTGGAGCAGCAGCAGTTATTTAGAGTGCACATTAGTACTTTCCTCTCCTGGAACATGGCTTGTTGCGAGGCTCCTCCACTGGAAAAGTGGGAGGATGGGAATAAGTTTCCTGAGTGGTGACTTGAGCTGGACCCCAGACCCACCATGTGATGAGCAGCAGAGTCAAGAAGACGACCGGAGGCGTGGGGATTCTGTTGGAGGACGTCTGAGGAGTAAATAGATGAAGCACAGGGACTCTGGTCAGCCAGGAAGGACTTTTTGCTGCCATAGAGCAACGGCTGGAGATCCTGGGAGGTGGAGTTTTCAGTGTTACTCTCCAGGAAAGCCACGCTGTATTGTCTCTTCTGTAGCCCTGAACCCCTTCCCAGTTGGGAAGCAGCAGAGCTGCAGTGAGACTGGACGACCTCGAGAACAGATGATTCATTGAACGGTTCTGATACCAGGGAGAGAAAAAGAATCATTTTGATCGTTTTGTTTGTCAAGAAATAATCAGACGTTAGTCACAGCGGTTGTTTCCTACCTTCCAGCATTTTCCTCATGTTCTTCTCCCTCGTTGAAAGATCGGACAGGAAATGATGAGAGTTGATCTGGCCCACTCTGAGTGGAGGGATAGTGCCACTCAGGTGAGAATTTGACCTGAAAAAAACAAAACAAACAAACAAACAAACAAAAACAAAAAACATAGGTGAACCTATGACCACGTCCAAGCTGGTTGGATTCATAGTTGAGACATTTGAGGTTAAAAAATTTAACATCGGTGAAATCAAGTCCAAATTTATTTCTATAGCACATTTCAATGGTAACAGCCTTTGCCCCCAAAGTGCTGCACCCAAACAGCAACCCTGACCCTAACAGGATTCAGAGAAGAACTAAGAATTTTTGTCCGTAAAGTTATGCTAAAAAATGAGTTTGCGTTTTAAAACCCCAAAATAAATTATTTAAAGGGGACATAATAGGCAAAACTCTGCTTTTGTATCTTTTGGTTCTACCATGTGGGTCTCTACTACCTCTTTAAACACTCCAAACATGTTTGGTTTTAGGAATTATGTGCCAAAAACAAGCTGTTTCAAAAAGTCCCTGTTTGTGATGTCACAAACGGGGACTTTAGTAGAGTATAACTAGTTTTCACGTGCAAGAGAGCTGCTGCTGCCGGTGGAGTGGTAGCAACTCTACTTCAAGCCCCTCCCGGATATCAGATCTTCTCAGCTTATAGCAATCTGATGGGTGGGCATGGCCAGCTCCAGCTTGTTTTCTTGAAGTGACAGAGCCGTAAAATGACTCATTCTGGAAGGTACTGAAACTTTCAAAAATTAAACAGCTGACATTCAATGCAAATAACTTCATAAACATGTTTTGTATCGACACTAGAACTTTTATAACTTAAGAAAAATGCTCTAATATGTCCCCTTTAAATTCAGTGATGCACACGTCACTTTGTTATTCCCCTTTGAGTCCTGTGCTGTAGCATTACCTACATAAAGAATAACAGCACCAACCTGTGATAATACATTTTAATTAACAGAACACTAACAATTACTAAAACAGCGTTCATAAATACATTTTTACTCAGTTTCATTCCATATTCTAAAATCATATTAGATAAACACCACAACGTCTGATTGATAGCATGCACTGAAGCAAACACCTCTCCTAGAATTAACATCGAATTTTCAACAGCATGGTGCAAAAAAGATGATTCATCAAGTTTTAATGAAAATTATCACTAGCAGCTCCATATGTTTAAAAAAGGTGAGGATTTAAACAGGTATGTATAAAAACAACAACAAAAAAGAAATGCTTACCTGTCCAGTAGCAGCTGGTAAGGTTTTGTGTTCTGAAACAGACAATAAGATGCATTAATCTGCCTCCAAACACCTCAACTACAGTGCCAAACACTACAGACACGAAGGCTTTCCTCTGGTTAGTGCATATTTTGGACATAAATGAGTGTGTTTTATTGATGTGTAATAAAGCGAGGTGTGTGCAAAGCGTTGCACCTTCATGAAGTTGATGCTCTCTGCTCTTTGGAAGAACGTGTGCACCGAGCTCAGGAGTTTTTCAGCATCCTGGCGTTTTTCATTGAGCTGCAGAACCTGCTGGGAGTTCTTTCTCACATACATGATGTAAGCGCTCTCCAGCATCTGCACGGCCTCCGCTTGGTTTGCTTCTAGCAGCGAATGCATCCTCTGGTACTGAGCTTTGACTCGCTCCTTCAGTTCAGACACGGCCTCCTGCAGAGAAAGCAGCACATCAAGTACAGCACCGAATTATTGGCGTGACATTTTCCACAAACAACGTGCTTCTTTTATCGTGGGTTTATTTTTTTTTCTCAACGGAGGATAAAATTGGACTGAAGCAGTGTGATGTATAATCACGTGTCTGTTTTTCTAAAGTGAGAGCAGTCCTTTACCTTCACGAGGGTTTTATCTGACTCCAGCTTGCTGAGCTGCTCATCGATGTTCTGAACACGACAATCCAGTTTGTCCTGCTGCCTCATTAGCATGGCCTGTACAGAGATGGCAGGGATTAGCCTATCGGATCAAAACAAGACACACTAAAAACACAACGACAAAACAAATACAGACAGAAACCTCTGCTGTGACCTCCACAAATGCGGCTCCCACTCACCACTTCCTCCACGTCTCTGATTAGACAAAAGGAAACAGCAGCTGCCAGCGACAAGCAGGTGCAATTATCCATTAGGAGGGCACCGGCAAAAGCAAACATGTTTTGCTCAAACCCACGTCTGATTGCTGTTAAATTTGTCAGGGACTCTGAAACATGCAGCGTGGCCCATTGTTAGGATCGGCCCACTCCCTCTGTTGGGGTCAATCAAAAGCCTTAAAAGAGCCAAAGTCCAGAAAGAGAACTGGTGAGCATAATCCTTCTCCACTTAGATAGAAATCAATCTGCAGCCACACACTGAAGGTCAGCAATGAACAGAGGAGGACAGGTACACTTTTTAATGAACTGTTTCTGCATGGGAGCCATGCCCGCATAAGAAGAAAACCCTGCTGTCATGGCAACAAAACCTAGTCTATGGATCTATATGTCAGAGCTACTTTGTATGAGAGGGAGCATAAAAGCTTTTCCTTTTTTTTTCCTTCTCATTTCGTCACATGCATTGCTCCCCGTGGTTTACACTGGTCTCTGTGTCATTGACAGTTTGACACGTCTGTGTGCACAGCATCAGGGTCTGCACTCCGCTCATTCCCGAGAGCGTTCACTGGGAAAAAAGGGAAACAGGAGCAAAGGCACTGCTTGCATGTGCCAAAAAGAGTCAGAGGAAGGGAGAAAAAAAGCAAAGTTTGAAGGAAAAATTTGCAGAAAAAAAATGGAGGATGAAGATGATCTTGTAGACTGTTGAGGAAGTTTGAGAGGCGTCAACAGCAGAAATATTCTGCTGCTGATATCTAATAACTGAACCTCAGAAAAGTTAGAAAACAGTTCAACCAGATTCACAAAATGAATCAAAACAACCACTTTAACTTGGCTGTACCGGACTTCTACTTTTACTTAAGTCAGCCGGCATTTTTTCATAAGGCAAACACAGAAAAAACATCGAAATTTTCTATAACCCTAAAAAGAAACAGAACCTTGGATTACAACATGAACTCTGGACTATTGACAACCAGGTTTTAATGAATCGGGACAACATAATGAACCAATAGAGAACAGAAATTGTCAACAAAAAAAAAAAAAAACTAGATAAAACTGAACTTGTAACTTGCTGTGTACGCACATAGCTGGGTTTTTGTAAAACCAGATATACTCCTTCGTTCACCTAGAAAAATAATTTAGGTCCACGCCAAGCAAAAGAAGTAAAATGAAATCCAGTGCATTGCGAAGCACATTCATAGACATGCCAAGCCTGTAGGTGGCAGTAGTTCCCCTAATCATCTGTGTCACTGCTGAAAATTATTCAAAGGATGTTGAATAACTTTGTGACAGACAATAACCATCGTCCTTTGACTGTGGTCTTCTACATAGAAGTTATTGAGTTTGTAAAAACAACCAAGTGTAAACCGGTGTAAACACATGTGAAGTCAGAGCATTTTTGTCATGGACAATGACGTAACTAATAAAGAAATCCTTTAATTAATTTATTAAAGCTTATTAAACTGATTGACGCTGTTGTATTTCTATTAAACCGACGCTAGAATAAAAACAAAAAGGAGTGTAGTGACAGCTAAACTACATACAATACATAATCTAAAGTTATAAGGCGATATAAGTCTGTAAGGAGAACATTTGTCTACACAAAACAGTGCTTTTCAAAGTATTCCTGCCAACAAATGTCTTAATATCAATGTTTATAAATGGTTATAAACAGTCACTGCTTGTAAATGTTCTTTATCAGTCTCCAACCAGCATTTGTTAAACACAGCTGGGAGCCACATTTGATCAAGATCAAGGAACACCAGATGGGGATGTGTCCTAGAATTTAAAACCGCATTAACCTTTTTGTTAATGAAGATAGGATGCTTGGAGTATCCATTCATCCATCCATTTTTGACCGCTAATCCGGTGACCGGTCGCGAGGGCAGTAGCCTAAGCAGGGAGGCCCAGATTTCCCTCCTCCGGGGGAATGCTAAGGCATTGCCGGGCCAACCAAGAGACCCTCCAGCTTGTCCTGGGTCTTCCTTTAGGTCTTCTACCGGTTGGACGTGGTAGGAAAACCTCACCAGGGAGGCTTCCAGGAGGCAGCCTAACTAGATGCCTGAGTCGCCTGAACTGGCTCTTCTCGATGTGGAGGAGCAGCGGGTCTACTCCGAGTCCCTCTAGGATGACCGAGCTTCTCGCCCTATCTCTAAGGGAGAGCTCAGCTGCGACCTCATTCTCTTGGTCACTACCCAAAGCTCGTGACCATAGGTGAGGGTTGGAACGTAGATTGACTAGTAATACAACTACAGGGGGTTCTGGAGTCAGAGCCGTGCGTCGAGGGGAGTCCGATTATATCTAGTCGGAACCTCTCTACGTCACGCACCAACTCAGGCTCCTTCTCCACTAGAGGTGACATCCCACGTACCAAGAGTCAGCTTCTGTAGCTGAGCATCAGACCGCCAAGATCCCCGCCTTTGGCTACCACACATCATACATTGCTCCCAACCCCTTTGACCCCTTCCACAAGTGGTGAGCCCATGGGAAGGGGGACCCTTGTTTCCTCTTTGGGCTGTGCCCGGCTTTATACTAATCATCAAAAGGGGTCTGTGTCCAACGTAGCATTCCAAAAAGTCTGTGCCATCTCCGATCTGCATTCCTATGCAAAATAGTAATGTTGTAATGCCCACTGAGAAACTGTTCTTTATGACAAAAGTTGGTTTAACATGTCGTAGACACACAAACGTGTCCCAACCAACTTCAACGTCAACAAGATATAAAAATGTATGGTGGTAATGCCAACTGCAGAACAACGATAACCCAAGTTCATGCTAACGCTAATGCTAGCCTGAGCTCCAACTAACGTCCTTTGTCAGATGAGAGGAAAACAACAGAGGAATGTTGGAGCACACATGTAACATTCCAGGACATACTGGGAATGTCCAGACTTTGAAAGGATGCCAGATAAAACCGTAGCATGCCTATTGAGTTATCTAGATACTCTACATGGCTGTGCAGTTTCTTGCCTCAAGCAGTGTCATAGGGAGCCTAAGTCACGCCCATCTATTTCTGGACCATGGGTCCCCAGACAAAGGAAAAATGAATGTAAGTCAATGGGACTAAAAACGCTATTTTATAATTTGGTTCGTTATTAGCCAGGGGTTGACTGGCCTATCTGGCATTCTGGCACTGTCCCAGTGGGCCGCCTGGCCAGCTTGGGCTGACACAAACCCCCAGCGCGCACCCCTCCTACATTCGGCGGCATAGAGACTAGTACGGCAAAGCCCCCAACGGAGTCACATTCGGCGAGACAGACAAGACCGCGAGCTGCAGCAGAAAAGAGCAGAAAATCTTTATAAATGTTGCCACAATCCAAACCTGATGAAGTGATTAAAACACACAAACTACTGGAATATTCTACTGGAATGTTCTTCATTTCACTGCTGGTTTGACTTTTAATCACATTGAGGATGGCATTTTTTGTCGTAAACTAAAAGTAAAATAGAAACTAACTCAAAGATGAAAAAATATTGAGGTCATAATATTTTTTCTTTGGTTGATGGTCTAATTGAACCAGCTTCCTGCTTATTACAAAAAATTGTCCCACCTAAGAGTTTAGTGCCTTGTTGCAACATGGCTCATAAGAAATAAAGACCAGGAGCTGACTCTCACCACCTTTATGATATGATACTTGAGGAAAAGTCGAGCCATCCCTAAGTTTATTTCCCTTTATTATTTTGTGAATCTTATAAAATATTAATCTAACAAGAGGTTGGAGCTGAACTTCAGCAGAGACGTCATGACGTAACACACCTGTACCAAAACTCCATCTGATAACACCCGTAACAAGTGACTATACCCCGAAAACATCTTACAGATTTCCATGAAGAGCTTTCAGACAGCATGCTGGTGTTAGCTGTCACTGCCCTCAAAGCAGCTAAGTTCATTTTGTCTGTGTGAACGTTGTAATGGCAAAACAGGAAAGAAAACGTTGTGATGTTACAGTAAATGCTGGCTTCATGCTGTGGTTTCCCCATGCCTTTCTGCTCACCACTCACACCTTCCTAGCTTTGTCGTTTTTCCTCCTCCTTTTTGTGTAAAGGTGTTGAACACTTGTTTAATCTATACATTTACAGTGGTCTTTGGTAGGAATGAATGCCTTGTAAGAGACACTCGACGGGGTTGGATCAGCGAGAATGCAGCTGGATGAGAAAGTAGCTTCAGACGACAAGATATTTGGACATCTTGCCTCTTATTGGATGTTCATGTTTTATCAATGTTGATGTTTTATCTCCACAATTAACACAAGCCTGGAGGTGTTCTGCTATGTGGTGGAGTTGCTAATGCTAACGGTTAGCTTCTACTAGCCCAGACGTTCTTTGCGGTTTCCTAGATGCTAAACCAAAAACAGCTTTCCCCGTCATGAGTCAAGATGGGTGAGTCCACCAAGTATACATGAAGGTGTGATGTAGATCTGTCAAGCTTTTCTAATCCCAGATTTTCACCATCTACTTTCTATCAGAAGCTAATGCAGGAGATAGGTGAAATAGGTGATTTAAGCCTCAGATGTAAAGGGTTTTTGGATTTTCATGGTTGGAATTTTAAGAAAATCTGATGTTTTTGACTGGCACAGCAAAAGCAGAAACTAGCTTCTGGTCTTAGCCCTGGGCAGCTGGTGACGTTTCACAAGGAGATCTGCTGAAACAGCTGTGGTAAACAACCCCCAACTCCGGTGTTTCTGCGTTAGCGTTATAGCAGACAACAATGTGTCATCAGTCAGATGTAGCTTCTGAAGCCTCTGCTAGTCGGTCAGATTTGTTTTTTTCCCTGGGATACGACGACGAGAACGGATATTGGATTACCGGAGGAGTTCAACCGAAGTCCGAACCCGGCTAGCTGGATATCATTACCAGAGGTGCAGACATGTTTTGGACCGTTTGACTCAGAAGATCTGTGACTCGATTTGAACACTGGGGAGAATTCTGTTCATCTTCAGAACCAAAATCGGTACAGTTTGTTTACTTTTGTTAAATATTTCATTTCTGTGCTCCACTGGGAGCTCTAAGCTGACAAGTTCTCAAAAGGTCTTAGCTTCATCATCTGCCCCAATATAATTCAGTAATCTACAGATAAACAAAAATATTGTTCTGCCAGCTTTACCACTGCGTGTGTATATTGATACCTCCGGAAAATATTTCACCGATATCTTACCGGAATAAATATTCCTGATGCTGTAGTAACTCATTAGTTTGACTCGTTTGCACTAATCCAGGATGGCACGGAGGTTCTACCAGTCCATGGAGGATCTATTGTTGAAATATGGGGATCATCTTTTAGATTAAATATGTGTGTGTCGTAGCTTTCCCAGATTACTTGTTTTTTCCTAACCGTTTACGGAGCAACAGTTAGCAGTGTTGCTGCAGTCATGCTAACGGGACTCTGGAGTCCAGAAGGCGCATAGATGTAGGTTATATTTTAGGAGGACGCCTAAAGGGAGATCCAGGACACGTTGGAGGGACTATGTCTCTCACCTGGCCAGGGAATGCCTTGGGATTCCCCCGGAAGAGCTGGCCCAAGTGGCTGGGGGGAGGGAAGTCTGGGCCTCTCGACTTAGGCTACTGTCCGTGCGACCTGACTCCAGATAAGCGGAAGAAAATGGATGGATGAAGGTTAATATTTTAGATCAGACCTATGCTATTTAAAAATGTGTGTAGGACACAGACATATGGCTCACACCTTTTGCTGCAGCTATAAACACAGTTTTCCATAATAATTAAGAGCACGAAAGTAAATAAAATAATGTTATTCACAATACTAGCGACAGCAGCTACCTTGTGTTACGTGTTGGAGTGACGTATGCGAAACAGTTCTTCACTGTCTGGAAGAGAGAATTTTGATTTCCTATAATTATTTATGACAAAATTCCTAAACTAAATGAAAAACTGAACCCAGTCTATATTTATATAGATGGTAAAGTGTAGTTATACTGAATATCTACAATTTTAATGCAGAGTCTGGTTAATACCTTTAAACCTCTTTAAATGTCTGAAATAACATAAGGGGGTTGAGGCAGCGCAGTAGCATAAGAGCTCACTTATTATCAAGCTTCAATCTACCAATGATCACTTTCCGCATTGTCCTATTTAGGCATCCAGACTCCAGCAGGTTGCCAGGAAGCTCATGTTTAAATGAGGAGCCTTGAGCTCGATGAACAGAGAGCCTCTTTCACAATCAACTGACAACTATTCCCCACTTCTGATGTCAGTGGACTGCCCTCAGCATTCTGGGGAACGGACTCACTTGAGCCGAAAACGAGGAAAACGCAAAACAGCAGAGCCTCCATGAGCGACGGCTTCCTGCTGAGGTGCCTGAGAAAACCAAGGTGAGGTAGCTTGGGAGGGGTCCTCCCCACTCATCCCTGAGATGACATTACTGTTTTATTACTCTTCCTTTGCCATCTTAAAATTAAATGCCAGCATGTTGAAAAGTTATGGTTAAAATCTCCTGAGATAACCAAAGATATGAACACACTCTTGCACATTTCCCTTTCAACCCCTCCCTCCCTCTTTGTTTGTCCCAAAAGCAACAAGAGTTGCTGCCAGCAGACTTTAAAATGCTTTTACCGAAATAGACCACACTGTCAAGGAGAAAGACCTCTTGGTAAGTAATGACGAGAAACCACTTTGGCCTCAAATTACTTTAACAAATGACCTAGCGCAGGAGAAGCCCAACATTTTTTGGCTGCCACAGAAATTAGAGTGCACACTGAGTGCAAGGGCCCGAGCATGGACAGTGTTAATTTGAGAAGAGCCAGGATGTGTTTCTCCCCGGGAACATACAGTTGGGAAAGATGGGTGGGTGGGTGTGTGCATGCAACTGTGTAAAGGGAGCAGCTGTGGAAAGGGCTGAACAGACATCTTTTGTCCCAATAATAGCTCCGAAGCAGGGAAACAATTTGAATCGAAGACTTTGGCTGATCTGGAACTTTGTAATCTTCTCGGGGGAAGAAATGTGCCTGAAACTTCCCCCATCTGAAATAAAACCATGCATATCAATGAGATGGGAGAACCACAGACGCTAGAACTCATTGCATTCTCACTCCCCTCCCTTCGTCATTAGGGACGATTGGGAGGAAGACATGCACAAAGAGATGTGGGTGATTGTTTTGGATGCTTTTTAAATTATATTAGACTTGTGCAAATTAGGGTAAAAGTACATAAGTAATGCAAGTATGTGTCCCAGAGAACTGGGACGCAATCCTCCGTACATCCTGAGGTCAAACCTGCCAAAACAAATCATCACTCACTGAAATGACTTTGAAACCATTTAGCGTCCTTGTAACAAAAGGGGCGATCGCTTCCAGTGGGTGCAAACTTGGAGCACTAACCCGAGGGCATGTCATCGCTAATGTAAGGGAGTGGCTCATCTGAAGTAAGCGGGGTTGATCAAGGTTAAAAGCTGTGCGATGCATGCGTGTCTGCGTGAGTTAAGGTACTTTCAGCTGTCCGACAATACAGACGATTCATAAAGAAACTGTAAGACAATCCCGCTTCCTGGAAATTGGATTAAAAGTATACCGAATGAGTATGTGTCTTTGACTTTTGCATCCGATGTGAACGGGTGTGATTTTTCTTTTGCTCTACCTGTATCTGCACTCGTTGCGTATCCACAGCACACACTGTGTGTCTTTGGTTAGTGCAGTGGGACAAGCAGCAGAATGGACACAGGGCCACTTGCTCTTGCTCACAGTGGAACAGCCTGTATTCCTCATGACTGGGACAGGTCCAGGCGCTCAGCTCCTCAATGTCAACCAACAGGTGCCCCGGGGCGGCGCACGGTTGCTGGAGATGTGTCTGGATGTGAGTTTGGCAGCAGGGCTCCTTGCAACGAAGGCACACTTTTCTCACAGGCAGCGGGGGGCCTCGTCTGCAGAGCACACAGTGCAGCACGGTGGGGTCTTTCTCAGCATTCAGAGCGTTGAATTGCTTGACTATGTTGGCAAGCTTAAAGTTCTTCTCCAGCGTTGGTTTCTGCTCATAGTCGTGGTTGCATTCGGGGCAGCGAACTGCCGCGTTGTCTTTGGCCCAGGCCTCGGAGATGCAACCTTTGCAGAAGTTGTGCTTGCATGGCAACTGGATCGGCTCATCGAAAACATTCAGACAAATGGGGCAGAGGAGCTCCTCTTCTAAGCAGTTTTTCCAGCTTGCATCCATGACTTCAGCGGCTTACTAAAGTGATGAACTGGAAATGAAAAATTAATGAATTAATTTTAGATTTTGAACTATTTATAAATAAAGTCTTGATGTGGGCCTATTTAATATGATCTCAGGTTTTTGAGCAGGTTACATGACAATAATGCACGTTTATGGTTAATTTAAACAGAAACCAGTGAGATAATAAAAGATTACGCTAATTCTAATGGCTGGCTTGAATCTTTGATGCGTGCCGAGCCTTTTCTAAACGAGTGACAACTTGCCACAGAAAATGTGACTCTTCCTGTTAGATGCGATGACGAAACGCTCCTTTAGAATTAAACATAAATCAGTCTACGGGGAAACGAGACGGGCGGAGAAGACCTTAGCAACTATTTATTCCCCATGTCGTCCGCAGGCTCCGGTGCACGTAGAATAAAGCAGCTTGTCATCCAGCCCGCGGTGAGCTCCAAGCTCCTCCGATTAGAATCCAGCCGACCGAGCGTTCGTCCGTCCGACGCCGGGATTTTCACGGAATTCCCGGTTGTTTTCCGCTCCGCTCTTTGGCTTTCCCCCGTAAACTCTCTGAGTGTTGTTTTTCAGCACAGAGTCGGATGTAACAGCGCAGCGCCTCCACACCGACTGTACTTACCCGAGCTCCGATAACGTGACCCGTCACGGAGTTGACACACAGACGGGGAGGAGCCGAGAAGAGGGAGGAACGGAGCGGCCACGGCAAACTCTACCGGACCGGACACACTGCGGAAGTCCAGCAGGCGTTTATCTGTGCATTAGAAATAAATGAAACCAGAGAGGGGCCCCTAGGGGCCCACATGAGGGACTGAAAAGGGGAAATATGTTAGACCATGTCAAACTTTTATTTATGGATACTTGACCAGGTTAAAAAGTAATTTATTAATATCTTGAAAAGTTTATTAAAACGAAATCACTTTAAAAATCATTTGTCCCCTAAAATTCTCACAAGAGCCAGCTGGTTTAATATTTTCTTTCTAGCTCAACAAATAGTTCAGAAAAAATGCATGTTTAGTATGAGTATAAACCCAAATATCCAGACTAAAATGAAAAAAGGCCTCAACTCGGCGAAGCTAATTCTAGACCCACAGATGAGCTTGAAAATTTCAGATTAAAAAATACCATTTCATTACCCATTAAGCTGAAATATGTTTGAATCCAACTATTTTGTAATCGTGATCCAATTACACTGTAAAAAAGTAACGATTACCTAATCAAATTAGACCTGGTTTTATTAAGATATTTATTTGTAATTTAACTAGTTTAGAAAAACATTTCTTGTTGGATGAGTATGCACACACAACACTGAAGTATTTGCAAGTCAAAAGTCATCAAAATACCAAAAATGCATCACATTTAATCTAAACTAAAAGCTTGAATTTAAATCAGAACTATAACTTTATGCATACCTTGTCCGGTCACACTGGTGTCAACTATTAGGAATGCAAAACCTTGAAAAAAGGTCATCAATACATTTTAGAATGAATCAAGATTTGTGTAATCGCTACACTCTTTAATGCACTTGAGATTACAACCAACCAGTTCAGTCCCAAAACAAATACAAAATTCCATATCTAAACTTTATTCAGATTAAAAAAAGGACAGATATAAATACATTGCGTTGGTTGCAGCGCCTTGTCTGGTTGTAATGCCATGTTGAATGCGCTTTATAAATAAAATGGTATGGTATGGTATGGTTACGAATAGTGTTCTAAAAGAAGACAGTAATAAAGCTTGTTTTGTCTACATCACAGAGTCGAAAAGGAATGCAAAACAGTGGACAGAGATGTTGTTTAACAACCGTGGAGCCAAACGCAACATCCACATTCAACGGAAACGAGTTCAAGGCACCGAGGAAATACACTCACTCTGAAGCAGGTTCAAATAAATTTCAAAAAAACACACAGAGAGAAATCATGTGATTAAAAAACACTAAGAGGTATGATTCTTGGCATGGTGGAGTTGGGAGGTGGCTGCTGGCATGGTGGAGTTGGGAGGTGGCTACACCAGCAGCATTTCATATCTAAGAAGTGTCAAAAATATTTAGCTTTTAGCTGAAGCTATTGCTACGGAAACAGTTGAAACTTTGGCGTGAACACAAACACATAAAAGAAAAATGTCCAGCATTTGTAAATACTATACACAAAAGCATTTCTGAAAACAACACTGATAAACTGCTTTGTGTTTTTATTCTCTTTCTAAGGCCACTGGAATAAATAGCCCTTGCCTTGAGAGTCATTGCTTCCAACACCGCGTCTGAGGCTCGTGGACACTCACTCAGCTGCAGTATTACAGTACATTTCTGGCCAACTGGACAAATAAAAGCATAAAAAAGGCCTGCAGGAGCGTTCTCACGGGTTAGCCATGTGAACAGGCTGGTTCGAGGCTGATTCCATCACCTCGCAAGTATTCAAACCTCAGAGAAATGTTGTAAACAGCAGGTCTTTGAAAACTGGGTAACAGTCAGAAATGTTGAGTTGATTCTCAGGATCATCTTCAAAAGTGAAGTAGTCTCTGGATTTCCAGATATGTACGACCCTTAGAGCAGGGTTGGTATGCAGGCACTAGGAGCTCTGAACGTGTGTCTGAGGAGAATTGTGTCTTTTTCCATTAAGTGTTTCCGTTTCATTGCAATGGATTATCAAACACAGAGTCTGGTAGGACGGAAATCTTCAGCTTCTTTTCAGGCCAACTGTACTCCTTAGGTAGCTTTGTCTAAACAAAGAGATTGGACACTTGGGGTGAACCAGAAAGGAAATCTGAAAGTAAAAGTTCAAACAGAAAAGCTCTACTTGCCTCCTCGCGAGTGTTGAGCTCCTGTAAATCCCCGAGCATTTGCTCAACAAACTCCTCAGTCAACAGGATCTGTGCAAGTGGAGAAGAAGAAAGTGAAACAAAAAGAGAGAGACTGAAAGTCTTGTGGAAGACCTGAAGAGACTTTTATACCTGAAGCCAAGGGCCATGCGCCGCATAGGGATTCTCCTCGGTAGCAAACGCTCCTTCTACTCCTGTGGACACAAACGTAATGGCCGTGTCTCCGTTGATACTTTTGTAAGTGAAATGTCTTCCATGCAACAACCTGCCCCTGTGCAAAAACAAATACAACAGTGTTAACTCCAGTTACACACATTTATATTCAGGAGTCTTCTTTAGTTTGGCCAGAAAACAGCAGTTCACATCATAAGATGACTCTTCACATCCCCTCATTGTGATGGAATTGATGTTTATTTAAACATACATAAACATAATAAAATTAAGAAAAATAAATTATTATTGCTAAACAATAGAAACAAAAGAGAAGAAGAGGATTAAAAAAAGATTTATGACTTTAATAAAAATACTCAAACTCTAACATGTGTGCAGTCCTTCCTTTTTATGTAGCGATCCCTCGAGCCGGGTCGTAACATAGATCAAATTAGGTTTTTCTCAGAATTCTTACTTTATTCTCACAATTCTGAGAAAAACAAACTTGTTGTCAATGGCTCTAGTCCTCTTCCGCAGATATTTTTCAAAAACTATAAATTGTTTCTTTTTAAAGAGTCCTGTAACAGCTGAGACTCTAAAGTTTTATTCTAGTGGATGTGGAGGAAAAACAACAATTGATTGTAAAGCCCGCAGACCCTTGGTCTAAACACTGAGCCATCTAGAGTTCATGCAACCCGAAACTTTGCATCCATCTTTGTAGTTTTAAAATATTTAGCAGACACTGGTGTTTGAGTGAGCCTTTTCACCATGACTGAGGGGTTTTGTTTTTCCTGTTTGTGTAGAGATTGAGACAGGCCAACCCCTTCCACATAACCAGGTACGGGGGCCTGCAGAGACCAAAATACCCCAGAAACTACCAGGATTGTTTCCCTACTCATGTGAGTGAACATTGTGAAATTCCAACCGTGTTTGCCTTCACAGCTTTATTAAGTTGGCGCTGCCTAACCCACGTGAGCATAATTTGTTGCATAGTTTTTATGTTATAAAACTAGCTTAACATGATTTTTTTTCTCCAAGGGCAAGAAAAATACTGGTAATATTGTGAATGATGTGATATGACACACCCCTAAATGGCATTTAAATTATATTACTTGGACAATAAATTTAATTAAAATAAACTGCCTGTCTGACGTGTAGCTCGGGCATTTACCTGCGTTTTCGTGATTACTTTACACGAAGAAAAGGATAAAGATATTTATCGTATATCAAGGGTAAGCTAAAAAAAAAAAAAAAAGAATCTGGAGATACAAGTTTTGTTCTATTTTGCCCATTCCTGTAACTACCCAAAGCTCATGGCATCCACCCCAGACTCCTGCGAGTAGGGGTGAAGAGTTGGCCCAAGATTTCACCACAAAAAGAACAACATCGTTCCTCCTCAAACACCTTTAGTAGTACATAATTATTATTATTTATTTTTTTTATTCCAGAGATTATTTCCAGAAAGGTTTTGGCATCAGCGTTCCAGTGTTAATTTTGACAGGAAATTTTAATTTTATTTTAGTCTTAGTCTTTTGGCTAAAAATTTATTTTAGTCTCAAGTCTTTTGGCTAAAAATTAATTTTAGTCTTAGTCTAATTTTAGTCATTAGATTTATTTTAGTTTTAGTCCCATTTTAGTCGATGAAAATAAAGTAATTGTAGTCGATAAAAATAAGCAATTTTAGTCAACAAAATGCATATATTTTTTTCTAATGAAGTAATTTCCTACTTTTGTATAGAGCACGGAAAAACTAGTGTAATTTAATACACAGGGTCCAAACTCTTAACCACCACTGATCAGATATAGCACACACAGCTAAGAACATAGAATATTTGAATAAAAAAAAAAACACTTCACATGTTTAACACTTACGTGTTTAATAAAATACAAAAAGCACACTGGGAATTACAAAAGTGCTCTTTTTAGCAATTGCACAACAAGCATTTTTCAAACTAGCATGCACTCAAAAATAAAAACTCCTCTTTTGAGGGCATGGATTTTTCCAGAAACTTTTCACAATAAAATGATTAACACCCCAAAATAAGTACAGTACAGGACCTGTAAGCTGTCAGTTACGGGTGTCTTTTTGGCATTTAACACATACAAAAGACGCACCGGGTTATAAAACGTACCGGTAAAACATCTGTGTGGGCTCGGGACTCGGAACATAGCAGTGCAAACCAGACATTGTGATAATTATAAACAGCCAAAAGCATGCTTCACTTTACTGGTCTAGTCCTGGTTTAGAGCGCAAGTGCACTTCCTCATTGCGCAAAAACAAACAACGTGTGTGCATGATTGCGCATGTGCCGTGAGCAGTTCTGGTACTTTTTGGGTCGCAGCCGCTCGCTGCACCGCTTCAACTGTGCAACAGTGAACTTGCACGGACTTCTGGCATGTTTGATATTTTGCTCGTCCCTCGTGAGGGTATTGCACTGTTGAAGCGGCGCTGCGAGCAGCTAAAATATCAGAACCGCTCACGGCACATGCGCGATCATGCATCAACACCGCTCACCCGCTATTCCCCTAATAACACACGCTGTTCGTTTTTATTTCTACACATTTTTTTTACTCACAAAGATTGTCAAGAAAGTGTGTTTGTCGTGTTCATGTCAAATTAAACTGATCACAAAACACAGATTTACTTTCTTTATCTCGTTTTCCTCATCCAACCCCCATAAATCGCTGTGTGTCCTCCTGCAGCACTCCCGAAGGACAACAGGTAAAACAAGACAAAAATGTCTGACGTGTTGAGTAAAAACCGCTATTTTTAGCATATTTTTAGGTCCGACGTGTTGCTACCAGACGTACAGTGTGAGCAGTCAGGTCGCATCCGAGAGCTCCGTACATCTCCGAGCAAACATGGAGAAGTTGATTATTATTATGGTAGGCCTAGCGTCACCTCTAAACAAAGCGGACTCTGATTGGTTCTCTTCTCACCTAGTCCCGCCTGTTCAATTTGTTGATTGGTCCTTTTATTTGCGTCATGCATCTTTCCTGTCTTCTGATTAGATATTCGTTATCGTGGGTTTTCGTCTCGACTTTCATTCGTTAACTAAAAGTTTCAATCAATTTAATTACTGTCTTCGTCTTTTTCCAAGCTTTTATTTTGAAATTTTGTTTCATTTTCGTCTGTAAATATATTTTCGTGACGAAAATATTTTGTCAACAAAATTAACACTGCAGTGTTCCTGTAACATCCTCTGCCAAACCTATTCCAAGATAAAGTGTGCTTGTTTATCGGTTTTAGAAAATTCCTATGATGGTAGATGTGGTTTTGGGGTGTGAACAGTGAGTGTAGCAGTACCGCAGGCAGAGAGGCAGGAGTGTGCCTGACTCTTGGTTAAACTTCAGATGAATGCTCTCCAGCTGTCGTGTTCGGACCAGCTCATGAGGAATAATGGCTGCCGAGCTCTCGCTCTCCAGACTATCCTTCCGGCTCCTGAAAAATCCACAAAGAATGCAAAAAACTAAGAGCGGAGTATTATGATACATGATGATGTCACTCATTTCTGTGGAAAACCCCTCCCCTCACCAAAGCCAAAGGAAATGTCGGGCTGCAGGCTTTGTCAGCCAACAGGAATGAATAGATTTCACAAGATATGGAACCAGAAGTCTCAACAGACTCCACAGAAAACCTGAAGCATAAAATTCCGGTGTCTACGGAACAACAGTGATAACAGCTCAGATGTCAGTGGGGTTCTGAGTCACTGCACATGCAGCAGTGACTTATCTTCCTGAAACCCATGTGAGTGTTTAGGTGTGGGAGGAAACTCACTGAGACCTCTCGTGGTTCTGCTTCTGGCTGCTGATGGGTGGTAGTGCCGTCTTGCTGTTGAACTCTAGTCCCTTTCTTAGGGTCTCTCTGATCTGCTCTGTATCTGTTTAAATAAAAACAAAGATCACCTCACCGTGAAGCAGATATTTAGTGAAATGCTTTTGGAACTGCTGGCTAAATATCCAGTTTTAGTCGTTTAGAAGATGGAGCACCTTTGTTAGAGAGCCGGCGTGGCTGTGAGCCGATGCAGATGGACCGGCTGTCCTCTTCGTCGTCCGGCGGGCGACTCAGATCATCCCATACACACTTAGCGCTGACCCCACTCAGATTAGAGCCCTCCGTCTCAATACCCATGTCCACTCTCTCCTGCTTAGATGAGCAAAACATATATGCAATAGTTAACACTAGTCTAAAAGGTATCAGAGATTTAACTTGTTTAACTCTTTAGTGCCTTAAACATGTAGTTAGGATTTGTTAGCTTTAATAAACAACACATAAGACATGTTTCCACTGTAGGAGTTCCAGGAATTTTCTGGAAATGGCTGCCTCTTCTCAGCCCGTGTCTCATTTCAAATTCAGCCCTTTCAGGACTTTGTTAAGACGACAGCATATCACCACCGTTGAGTGATGTCACAGATCAGCTAGAAAAGGTGTGTACGAACATTATTCTTTCAAAATACAGCATAATTCAATCCATTAAAAGGACCAGGAGAGCGGCTGTGTGAAGTAAAAAGTGGTGTTCAATGATCAGAAAATGCACCATAAATTTTATGGTGCTCTGTGAAACTAACGAGGAGAATGTCCGCCACATTGTTCAGTGTTGGGAGTCTAGAAACGGCTATTTTAAAGCAGCATCAATGCTGCTTACTTTCTTTTCCTTCCATTCTGCTTCACCAGCAGTGATGGAAATAACACCGTTTAACTATAACAGCGTTACTAACGGCGTTCTTTATTTAGGTAATGGAATAATCTAATTAATTACTTTTCCCACTGTTGCAACGCCGTTACCATTACTGGGGACGGAAGGTTGTGCGTTACTATGTGCTTGTCGAACGTTGAGCAACAGTGTGAGGCTTTCTGCCCGCCACACTTCAGCTGCAGCCAGGGAGAGAGAGGTGTCGATAACGCACTTACAAACACGATGATGACTGGCCGGGTGGGCGGAGACCCTCAGTGTCTCAGTCACTGCATGCTATAGACACAACAGAGCAGTGATGGGAATAACGCCGTTTAAAATAACCGCGTTAATAAAAATATATATTTTTTCAGTAACAAGCAATCTAATTAATTACCACCTTTTATCAAAAGATCGTTTCTGTTACTGATAAGGAAATGCGTGCGTTAAGCAGCGCGGTGTGTAGAAGCTGTCATCAGCTGATCAGGAGCTAAAGAGGTAGATGTTTTCATCCAAGCGCATTACGGCCGTGAAGAACGAGGAAGATGTGATGAATATCTACGGCTGCAGACCCGCAGATTCGCTGCTGCAGGTGGGAATCTGCAGCAGCAAATCTGCGGGTCTGCAGCCGTGCCCTTCTTAGCGTGACAGCGGGACGTCCCGGAGGTCCGCTCACCTGTTCACCGCTCAGACGTCCTGATCTTCTACCTTCCTAGATCATCCAGCTGTAACCTGTTTCTGATCATGTCTTTAGTCCCGCTGTAACACTGATGCATCTGTCACAGACGTCATGGAGCTCAGGTGTTATTAGAACTACCTGTGTGTGTTTACCACCCAGCTTAAGCTCTTCTGTGTTTGGGTCTGACCCAAGTTAGTAAATGTAAGTCCTCCATCAGGCTTGTGCCTCTTCTAGTGTCATTTTAAAGGATTTTATTTATTTATTTATTTAACCATTACTAGATTACCAGCAACAGAAATGCTACTAAAACACACAATTATGTGAAGCTGGAAAAATTAAAATGCTGTGCAAAATTACATTCATTTCTGTAATTTAACTAGACTGAGAGACCATTTAAAGGCTCGGGAAACAGGTGTTTCTATTTGCAATTTTAAATTTTAGCAGATTGGGGTCTTGTTAATATCACACAGTGACCTTTTAATAGTCTAGATAAGTGTAATGCTCCTGTCAGTAGTTCCTCCTGTTAAGTGCTTATTTATTTAAATTATTCAGGTTTATAAAAAAACATTTGGACACACATTTTATTATGTTCCAGTCATTAGTCAATTATGTTTCACTATTATAGTAATTTTTAGTAAATTAAGTAAGTTTAATTAAGAGGGGAACCCATTTTTCTTGCATTCTTTAATGAAAAAAGTAACTAAGTAGTTAGTTTTCTTGTAATTAGTTACTTTTATAATCTTGTAACTCGGTAAGTACACGAGTTACTTTTTTGACCAAGTAATTAGTAACTATAACTAATTACTTTTTTAAAGTAACGTTCCCAACACTGTTCACTAGCAACTCAACAACTAACGGTTGTTTGGCCGACGTCTGCTGATGCCATTTACCACTGAGTTACAACCAATCAGCACGAGTTAACCACAAGTCCCGCACAGTGACTCTATTGGGATGTTTCTGAGTATCTACCCCTGTACAGGTACTTGGTCGGTTCGTGATAAGACCTGAAAACTCTTTTCAGCTCAGCCGGGTTATATGGAGACATATGCACGCCACGGAGGTTCGGGAACATTTCCAAGAAGTTCCAAAAGTGAAAACAGGTCCAATTATTCTAAACATTTTGACCTTCATGTGCCGTTAGTGGCTTCCGTGAACTTATGA